TTGACGTTACAGAAATGGTGTTTTTGGCAGGATGTAGGACGCAACTATCACGTTGATTCGCGATGCTGAAATCCCAGGGACATTTCAGAATTTTCAAGCGGTTGTCTTCCAACGGGGCACTTCATTGAAAATGTGTGTACGTGTGTGAATGTGTGAATGAGAGAGAGAGAGGGAGAGAGAGAGAGAGAGGCTTAGCCGTTTTCGCCGTCGTCCGTCCTTGTCGTCCTCGCCGTCACCGCTCCTCCGTCCCTGTCCGTGGACCCTCCGCGTCAAACGTCCCAACCAATAAAGAGAAATCGAGCAACGTCCTAACCGAGTCGACTGGAAGCCCCTTCCCCTTGATCCCTTCCCCGGCCGAGGGGGGGGGAAGTGATCCACGGGGGGGTCCTGGAGCTTGTGCTCCCCCCATCCTCCTTGGGAGAAGCTTTCCCCTTCGAGTCCTTGCCCCAGCAAGCCTCGCGCTCCCCCTTCAGGGTCGGCGGCACCGGCCGGAAGGCCTTCACAATAAAACCTTGCATGGACCTGCGGAAAAAGGCGGCTTGGAACTTGGAGGGAAGGTCTCTTGCAACATCGTTGATGAGTCTTGGGTTTACGCGGGTCCTCCTCCTCCTCTTCCTCCTCCTCCTCTTCCTCCTCCTCCTCCTCCTCCTCGCACTGTTTTTCGACCGTCCTCCTTCTCCTCCTCCTCGTCCTCCTCCTCCTCCTCCTCCTCCTCCTTCTCCTCCTCCTGCTCCATCTCCCCCCCTCTTCGACCATCCCCCCTCCCCGTCCCCCTCCTCCTCCTACTCCTCCTCCTCCTCCTCCTCCTCCTCCTCCTCCTCCTCCTCCTCCTCCTCCTCCTCGCCCTCGCACTCGTCCTCGTCGTCGTCGTCCGCGGTTTCCTCGTCCTCGTCCTCCTCGTCGTCCCCGTCCTCCTCTGTGAGCAGTGCGCCCTCCCCCCCGGCAGCTGACCGGCGGGGCCCTCGCGCAGGAGGCCGCGCGACACGGCACAGCAGGCCATGGCGGTGCCGAGGGGGCGCCGCCGCGCGCGGCCGCTGGCGGAGGGCTGCGGAGGCGGGGGGAAGGAGAGCGAGGCGGGGCGCCCAGCAGGGCCGAGGCGAGGCCGACAGCGACGGCCGCGGCCCATGCCGGCGGCGGCGGCGGCGACACCACGGCGGCGACAACAAGAAGCCATCAGCACGGCGGCGACGGCAACGGCAGCGGCGACAACGGCGGCGGCCACGTCAGCGGCGACGACTGCGGCGGACACCACGACCATCCTGGCTCCTCCCTTTTCCCCTCCCCCCTCGTCGCTGCTCCACCCGACAGCCTCGGAACACTTCAGAGGCAGTAGAACTCCACAGAAAACCCCGTCGGAGCCCTGCAAAACCAGCTGAGCCTCATCGCTTTCTCGCTTTTCTCCCTCTCCATCGTGGCGCTCCCGCGGCCGCACGCCTTCCGCTCTTCCCTTTTCGTCCTCCTCCTCCTCCTCCTCGATCCTCCTCGATCCTCCTCGATCCTCCTCCTCCTCCAGCTCCTCCTCCTCCTCCTCTTCCTCGATCCACCTCCTCCTCCTCCTCCTCCTCCTCCTCCTCGATACCTCCCTCCTCCTTGTTTGACGTTACGCGAACTAGGGGTCCTCCTCCTCCTCCTCCTCCTCCTCCTCCTCTTCCTCCTCCTCCGCCTCCTCCTCCTCCTCCTCCTGCTCCTCCTCCTCCTCCTCCTCCTCCTCCTCCTCCTCCTCCTCCTCCTCCTCCTCCTCCTCCTCCTCCTCCTCCTCCTCCTCCCCCCCCTCCTCCTCCTCGTCCTTCTCCTCCATTCCTGTCCTCATAAACAACTTCTCCCTGTCGCACCCGGAGGCCAGTCTTTAGATCGGGCCGGGCGTTTCGCTCGAGATTCCCTCACCATTTATGATTCTGAAGCTAAAAGTTGGCAACAGCTTCACAGATGGAGGGCGGGTCGTTTTCAAAATGTGGCTCTCGCCTAAGTGCAGCGCACATTCGTTTTCAAACTTTGCAAGAGTTTCACGGAATGAGGGCGGGTCGTTTTCAAAGCGTTGATCTCGTCTTAGCGCGGCACACATTCGTTCTGAACATGTGCAAGGGCTTCACGGATTGAGGCGGGTCGTTTTCAAAATGCGGCTCTCGCCTTACCGCGGCGCACATTCGTTTTCAAAACTTGCGCGAACTTCAAGGATTGAGAGCGGCTCTTCTTCAAAATGTGGCTCTCGCCTAAGCGCGGCGCACATTCGTTTTAAAACTTGCAGGGGGGTCCCGGATTCCATCATCACTCATCAACGTGCCAGAGATGGTGTTTTGAATGGATTCAAAATTACGCGGGCGCAACAGTTATGTTGAGTCGTTGTGTTAAAGTCCCAAGAATGGCGTTCTGGCACGATTCAGGGTTCTCAGGACGCAACAGTCAGGTTGATCCGTGGTGTTTTAACCCCAAGAGCAATATTTTGGCATGCGTCAGGGTCTTCAACCGGTTGTCTTCCAAAGAGGCAGTTCCCTTAATGGAAATCAACCCTTGTAGGGACATATGAAGAGGGAGCTTGGAGGGTTTATGCCAACATCGTTGATGACTCTCGGATTTACACTGGTCCTCCTCCTCCTCCTCGATCCTCCTCCTCCTCCCTTTTGGACGTTGCACGAACTAGGGTCCTCCTGCTCCTCCCCCTCCTCGATCCTCCTCCTCCTCCTCCTCCTCCTCCTCCTCCTCCTCCTCCTCCTCCTCCTCCTCCTCCCGCTTCTCCTCCTCGATCGTCCTCGATTCTCCTCGCTCCTCCTCCTCCTCCTCCTCCTCCTCCTCCTCCTCTTCCTCGATCCTCCTCGATCGTCCTCTCCCTCCTCCTCCTCCTCTCCTCCTCCTCCTCGTCCTCCTCCTCCTCGATCCTCCTGAGCATCATCAGCATCATCATCATCCTCATCCTCAACCTCCTCCTCCTCCCTCTCCGCCTCCTCCTCCTCCTCCTCGATCCTCTCCTCCTCCTCCTCCTCCTCCTCTTCCTCCTCCTCCGCCTCCTCCTCCACCTCCTCCCTCTCCTCGTCGATACTCCTCGATCCTCATTCTTGTCCTCCTCCTCCTCCTCTTCCTCCTCCTCCTCGCCCTCCTCCTCGTACTCCCCTTCCGCTCCTCCATTTCCTCCTCCCACTCCCACTCACCTTCATCCTCTCGCCCTCGCCTCCGACCCTTCCTGCTGCTGCTTTCTCGTCATCCCTGTGTCGTCGACAGCACCGCACGCGACCTCCTTACGGACATCTGGATGGGTCAGGACCACAAAGAACCCCTCCCTAGCGGTCTTGGTCCACGTCCACTCTCGTCCTCCCCACCAAGAGGAGGGACGGAGGGACGGACGATGGAGGAGAGAAGGACCCAGACCTCTTGGCCCCTTCCCTGGGAGCAATTGCTAAGCATGAGTCGTTGATCGACGGCCCTGGGTCCCGAAAACGGCATCCAAAAGACGAACATGCAGAAACAACTCAGACTCTACGCTTTCGAGCCCCTGGAAGTCTGGAGACGACGACACGGCATCGGCGACGGCGACGGCGACAATGACGACGACGACGAGGACGACGAGGACACCAGACCAGGTCGACGCCAGGACCTGTTCTAAGGTGCGTTCTGGATTGCATGTTGGGGCAGATCCAGCCGTGGCGACGACGACCGCCCCAGAGGAGGCCGCAGAGAGGCCCTCAGGGAGGACTCGGCCCTCGGCCCTCGGAAGACCCCTCCGTGCAATTGCCGCTGCTCGTTCGACAGACATGCAGACATACGACGTCCTGGTTCTCGCCGACACGGGGCCCCGACCTTCTTTCCCCAGGGCCGGCCTCTCATCCCGAGTCGGTTCTTTCGTCGCTCCCTGGGCCCGGCGAAGGCCCCCAGGGGCTAGTTAATGATGATCCAACCTACTTGAGCCTTGATCGCCAGAAAAAAACTTCGAGCACCGCGAAGTACCGAAACTGGAGGTTTTCACGTGTCGGGCCCTGGGAGGCGATACTCGTTCGACACTGGTTCGATACTTCTCTGGGTGCCCGAAATTCATGCTGGGATGTGGTCCTTAAGTACGATGGGAACAACATAACCAGAGGCCCCAAACGGCCAGAAACCTTCCGCCCCGGTTCTCGCACTGAGCGAGCAACTCTGGCTCCGCGCCGCCCCGCGCGAGTTCGAGGATCTTCTGACCCGGGTCAGTCCAGACCCGGATCAGTCAGGTCTTGCAGAATCCTGCGAGTTCCTGCAAGAGCCTGCAAGACCAAACCCGGGTCAATGCGAAGGATCCTGCCACATCCTGCAGGATCCTGCACCCGAGCCCGGGTCAGTGCGACCCTGTCCTGCAGGGTCCTGCAAGACCCAGCGCTCTGGCTGACCCCCGCTTGCACTCTGGGATGACCGTGGGGGTTTCCCAGCGGATAGGGGGGTTACAAGTGGATGCGAAGGTGGGTTCCAGCTGGCCCACCCCGGCTTATCAGTGGGTTATCAGTGCCCCGAGTGGCTCAGGGGGGTCAACGATCTGGGCGAAGTGGGCTCCGCCCACATAGCGGAGTTATCTAACCCCCCTGAGCCACTCGGGGCACTTGTCACCCACTCGTAAGCCAGGCTGGGCCAGATCTCTAACCCACCTTGGCACCCACTTGTAACCCCCCTAATCCATTCCCAGACATGCGACGTCCTGATTTTTTCAGGACGGCGTCCCTGGAAGTCCAGACCCTTTCCCCGGGGCCGGTTTTTCGTCCTGACTCGTTTTTTGACGGTCCCGAGGCCCGGCGAGGGCCCCCAGGGGCAGAAAATAGCGAAAAACCTTCCGTCCTGATTTTTTACGACGCCATCATGTCTGGGTTTAGAACCCCCCACGGCCATCCCAGTTGACTGACCACCGCCTCGAGGCTCCCGCGCGAGTGCCGCTGCTGGCCCTCCCGGCGAGGCGCGGCCGCGGCGCGGGGCCGAGGCGCGTGGCCCCTCGGGCGTCCCAGGCGCTCGCGAGGGCGCCCGGGCGCGCTCGGCGTGGCCCGGGCGGAGGCTCACATGGTGCTGCACTCGTCCCGATCCTCGGGCGCTGGCAGTGCGGGCAACGCTCGCCGGTCGGAAGAGGTAGGCAAACGCATGAAGAACGGAGGCGGACAACGCAGATTGGGTTCCGGCCCTCCCAGAGAATAGCAAGACACAGCACAAGCAGATCGGCTCCTGAAGTAGGAAGGGGCTTGAAGTAGGTGGGGATCTGGGGAGCCCAAAGGACCTGCTTTCAACGACCGACGTGTACTCAGATCTAGCAGAGGGAGGGGTGCCCGAACGGGATTCTTTCTTCCCCGGGCGTGCGTTGGCCATTCCGGAGGCTTCGCCTCCGGGAT